ACCTTAAATATTGATACTGAACCAAGTCAAGCTCTTCTATTTCTTTTGATAGTCTGGATTGCTCGCAAATATTGCAAAATAAATATAGAAAATCATGGAAAAATATGTGTGGGAAAGATAAGAAGTAGAGCCAGCCAATGTTCGACGGTGCAACATTAGTGCAATTACAAATTTCATTCGTCAGCTTTGACAAAGAGTTACCGTTGTGGAATGATAGAACACTTCTGCTAAATGAAATCAACCAAAATGCTCTTTCTTCGCCGTGAGACTCAAAGTGGACTAGGAGTCTTTTGATATTAAAAAAAGAACAAATTATTGGACAAGTGACATTTCACTGGGGCTTGGAGATGTGGCCTCCTTGTAACATTTTTTATTGTTGAATGCTTCTACTATGATAGTCTGAATTGCTTGCAGACATCACAAAATAAATAGAAGAAATCACCAAAAAAATGCAGGAAATAGATAAGAAAGAAGTAGAGGTGCGAGTCTCCCCCGTGTGCTTTGCAAAAATCAGTTTTTGCACTCTCTGTACATCCTTCCAGCTTGCACCTTTTTCCACCACCGTGATGAACACAATAGTTGGTGCGCCCTCTTGCACTCTTAGTACACTCAAGTTCAGTTCATCTCTTGCCACCACCATGACTAACACAAAATGAAGTTCCCACATGCTCGCTCTCTGTGCACCCTTTAAATTGACATTTTTTGCCCCAGCCATGGCTTTACAGAATGAAGTGCTCCCTTCTGCACATATTGTGCACCACAAAAACGTGCTCCTTCTGCTACCACCGTGAGCTTTACAGAACATTGTACTCCCTTGGGCACCCTTTGAGCACCAAGGATATTAGCACCGATGGCCACCTTCATGAGATATGCAGGGACCAGAAATACCATCAGCACTCTTGATGCAATTTTCAATCTTGTACCTTTTGCCGCCGCATGACAAATACAAAATCCCATCTTACCTCTTGCTGCATGATGGCAACCCACGAGAGTGCAGTGCCTACCACCTCCATGGTCCATGCCCTATACAGTAATCAGTACAGCCTTCCCCATGTGGACATTTGATTGGGGCTTGCAGACTTGGCCTCCTTGTGACATTATTTGATTGTTGAATACTTCTATTAAGATAGTGTGAATTGCTTGCAGACATGTAAGTAAACACAAGAAATCACCAAAACAAATGCAGGGGAACGATAAGAAAAAGGTAGAGGTGCTAGGCTCTCAGATAGTGGGTGTGCTTATTCATATTCAGTTTTCGATGACAAGAAGAAATGAAATGCTAAAAATTATCTAAAATTGCTTTAAAAACAAAATTCTTAAACATTCATCTCAAATTGCGTTAAATGTTAAATATAGATACAGAACCAAAAAAATTCAAGCTCTTCCATTTCTTATTATAGTGTGAATAACTTGCTGACATTGTAAAATAAATACAAGAAATCTCCAAAAATATGATGAGGAAAGATAAGAAAGGAGTAGAGTCGAAAGTCGATGGTGCAGCATTTGTGCTATTATAAATTTCATTCGCCAGCTTTGACAAAGAGTGGACATTTTGGAATGATAGAACACTTCTGCTAAATAAAGTTAGTGAAAACGATCCTTTCCCATGGGAATCAAAGTGGAGTAGATGGCTTGTGATATCAAAAAAAATTTATCCAACAGTCAACATTTGATTGGGGCTTGCAGACTTGGCCTCCTTATAACATTTTCTGATTATTCAATTATTTTATTATGAGATAGTCTGAATTGCTCGCAAGATTTCATCAAAAACATGCAGGGAAAGATGAGAAAAGTAGAGGTGCGAGTCCCTCAGAAAGTGGGTGTACATAACACACCCAGTTTCTGACGTCAAGAAATGCATCGAATGCATTCACCACGTCCAATTAAATGTTAAGAATATAATTATTATCCTTTTACCAACTTAGAGTAAATGCAAATCTCCTTCCAGAGAATGTTGTTAGACCATTTCTATAAATTTTGAACTCCCTAAAAAGCCAAGAAATGCTAAAGAATTTACCTAAATTTGATTCCTCAAACATTAATCTCAAATTGCATTAAACCTTAAATACCGATACATAACCATAAAAATAAAAATCAACCTCTTCCTTTTCTATCATAGTCTGAATTGCTCAGAGACATTGCAAAATCAATACAAGAAATCACCAAAAAAATGCAGGGAAAAGATTAAAAAAAAAAAAGTAGAACCAAAAGTCTATAGCGCAGCATTAGTGCATTTACAAATTACATGTTAGCTCAGACAAAGAGAGAGCATATTGGAAAGATACGACACTTCTGCTAAATAAAGTCATCGGAAACGCTCCTTCTTCCCTATGGAAATCAAAGTGGAGTAGGAGGCTTGAGATAGGAAAAAAATCGCACATTCGACCTTTGATTGGGGCTTGCAAACTTAGCCTCCTCGTAACATTTTCTGAATGTTGAATACTTCTATCGTGATTGTCTCAATTGCTAGCAGACATCGCAAAATAAATACAAGATATCACCAAAAAATTGCAAGGGAAAGATAAGAAAGAAGTAGAGGTTCGAGTCTCTTAGAAAGTTGGTGTATTTATACACAACCAGTGTTAATAATAACACTAATGACAAGAAATGCATTGAATGTATTCACTACATCCAATCAAACTTTCGCATATAATTATTACATTTTACCAACTTAACGTGAGCGTAAATTTCCATCGAGAGATAAGAACGAAGTTGAACCGAAAGTCAATGGTGGAGCATTAGGGTTATTAGAAATTTCTTTCGTCAACTCTAACAAAGAGCGAGCATTTTGGAATGATAGAACACTTCTACTTATTATAGTCAGCTAAAACACTCCTTGCGACCCAAAGTGTAGTTTGAGGCTTTATTTATTATATATATAAAAATCGCACAGCCAACATATGAAGAAAATATAAATAAATAAGCACCCAAACATGCTTTTATCTTTGCTTGTGGAGTTGTGGATGCTCTGTTTTACCCTTTTTATACAAATTTGCATGCCGTATACAATTCAATGTTCTTATACAGAGAGAGCACATAGAGTTCATAATTTCCAACTTTCAAATTCAATGTCAAATTAAAACAGTTTCTCTTTGAGTTATGACCTCAACGGGTACATCAAGATTGTTAAAAATTGCAAGCATCCATTCATTCATCCCGATTATAAATGAGTCAAGGGATGCTGACACTAATTTCATATGGCCCTTTAGTAGATTACAAAACTATGACCTTGAAAATTCGCAACCAACAAAATCAGTAAAGAAGAAAACAGATTGGAATTCAAGATAAATAGACTTGCAGCCAGGGTAAACCATAAACTGGCCATAATATACTATTCAAAATTCTAGCTTACCATATCACCAAAATCATGTATCGCATATTAGGAAAAATCAAACTTTCATGGTTAACTAATGGGTAGCTACTTATTCTTAAACTATGGCATTGGCTGCACTAGCAATCCTCGGCCATAGATCAGCACACTCTTTTCCGATTGGACCTGTAATAGCAGAACCTTTCATTTCACCCTTTGGGTTTACTATAACACCGGCATTATCTGCAAAAGCAAAAAGTTGAAAGATTAACATTACACTACACATGTATGGTAAACAAGCAAATATTATTTGGTTTTTTATTACGAAGATACCCAAGATATATGTCCAGCATATCCAACCAAAGATCCACACTGTCTATTGATGATCCTAACACCATCACTGATTCTGCTTTGAAACAGAAAATAGACAGCTAAAAGAGTTTGCATGTAGGGTCCAAATGGAGCAGACGTGACTTGGAAGAAAATGATCACGTCTGTAACGACGGACACTTTTCAATGTTCCAGACAAGTAACAGTATTGACATCAAAATACGCAGATGGATACTTGACTTATGCCTGGTATGCAAGGAAAGTTACAAATTCTGTTTCCTAACTTAATAAATCTATTTTGGGGAATATGATAAACTATATTATATATTGGGTCCATATGGAGCAGATGTGAGATCCATTGGTACAAACACATCTGTAACGATAGACTCTTGTCAATCTTCCAGACTCGTAACTGTATTTAACAATGGATGAAATGTCAATACATGACTAAGTCCGGTACCTTCTTATCAAAACCACGGAAAAACTCCTGTCTTCAAGGAATGAACCTGCCTCGGGTATATCTATTAAAATTTACTCTATAGGTCTAATTTCTATGTTGTTACAAGGAAACCATTTCAAGAATGACTCAAAAAACCAACTTCTCTATGAATGCATAAGAATTCAGGAACACTTAAAAAGGGAGGAAAATGAAAGATGAGGCAACGAAAGGTTCAAAGAAAATATACCAACCTTGACAGGACTGGAAAAAGCAATTTGCCACCCCATATAGGGGAAGATTGGCAATTTAAATGTAGCTGGTCATGGGAGGTGCAGAGAAACCTAGGAACACTCCTCAGCACCACATTACCAGCAAGGAAACAAGGAAATGACACAACATCCTTGCTAAACATCTCTCTGAACGTTAGATGAAATATTATGGTTAAGGTCATGAGCATAGAGCGCATTTTGTTTAGCTTAAATGCTAAAAAAGAAACTAAAAATAAGTGCCACTATAAGCTAAAATGAAGCCAGATTTTAGCTTCTTTTTTAGCATTTAAGCAAAGCCAAACATGCTCTTAAAAACATCAGAGATGTATCAACCTTGACAGAGTGAGGTCCAAGAAACAGAGAACTCACTAGGTATTATGATTGATAACATTTTAATATAGCTGGACTAGAAGGTATCATATCATGTCTACATAATCCAAACTGTCTATGGAAGATGCAGAAATCAAGATACCGCATAACCAGCTAATATTAACCTTCAATCACACTGTTAAGCTTATTACTGAAATCCACCTTTTAAAAGTAATAAGTAAAACATTAACTGTCAAATTCAAGCATAGCCAGCAAAATCAATAATAAACTGAACAAAGCGACAAAACAACTTCAGCAAATATCTATCTGACAACATCAACTGAAATAAAAAAATCTTTCTTTGAAAGGTAATCAAATATTTTATTAATCAAAGGATAACACACATGAAATATATTATCAATTTAAACCAAAAAGGAAAAATTGGGCAGTCCATCTATATGCCTAGTAGTCACAGCATTAAATCAAGTATACAATGTCAAATCAAATAAAATAAAATAATTTTCTTATATGCTCTATTATCAGCTGTTTCTTTTCTATCCACACATACCATACGATCCAACCCGTATTAAGATCTCATACAAGCTTGCTATCCTTATCGTGAAACTTTCTCCTCGATGCCTTTAACGCATCTTCCATAAGTATATATATTACAGATATCTTATTGAAAAAGAATGCAATAAATAAAAAATTACCCATCCAATTATACATAGAAGCGGCCAAAGAAGATAAATTGCAAAATACATGTAAAGCAGGCAAGGACCCCTTAAATACACCCAAAAACATGAATCCAATAAAAGGATAATAATCATTAAGAAACAGACCTTCGAAATACATGAAAACACCATCCTTTCGGCGCCACGGCTTACGTTGCCTCACAATAACAGCAGGCATCACCTTCTTCCTCAAATCAGGCTTGCCCTTCTTCACGGTAGCCATCACCATATCCCCGACACAAGCTGAAGGGAGCCGGTTTAACCGGCCTTTTATCCCCTTTACGGAGATAATATAAAGATTTTTCGCACCCGTGTTATCGGCGCAGTTCACCGTCGCCGCCACCGGCAGACCTAGCGACATCCGGAACTTGTTACCGGCCGATCCTCCCCGCCCTGCCAACACAATTTCATAATAAGCTAAATTACACGAAATCAAAGAATAGAAAACATAGTGTACTCTAGAGACCAACCTCTCTTCGACATTTTCGGTGTGATGTAATTAGGGTTTCGAGAGATGGAGAATCAACATATATAGGAAATGGCAAGCGGCTGGATTGGAATTAGGGTTCCTGACTTTAGTATGTTAATTAGTAATAAGGACTTGATCTTTTGGAGTAATACCATATCGGTACTCAATTTTTTCTTCCCATGTTAATAGATATAAAAACTTTTTCTTAGATCGTTCAAACTAAATTAGAAAATCAGAAAAACACTTTTAGTAACAGATTCACGAATTCACCATATGTCTAGGTGCGTCTTGATATTGAGATCGGTCAAAGGATACCCAATATTTTGATGATCATTTTAACGTGATGAATTGGCGTCAGCTGGCACATTGTCATGTCATCCCAGACACCACCCGAAGTCTATAATATCCGTGAGTAAGTTTTAAAGAGTATCGAGATATTTCGTCTAACAAGTTGTTGAAGAAAAAAAGAACACATTTCTTTCTCTAAATTTGATCGGGTACAAAGTCTAACATCTAAGGGGTGTTTGATGCACATTATTGAGAAAAGAATGCATTTTATGATATGATGTGATGGAGAATATGTAGTTAGAAAATAAGGAAAATTTTTGAATTTACGTGTAACATTATTCTTCTCAAAATTCAGATTTTCAGAAAAATGTGGATCAAACAAGGCTGTAAAATAAGTTTTTGAAGAAACAGTTAATATATTTATTTAAATTTCATCTTTTGACACGAAGAAAGTACAGTTCATTTGTTATGAAAGGCCTAATAATTATTAAAATTTTCTTATGTTGAGCTAATACGGATTGGGATTTAGCCCATGTTTGACACCCATTTTTTTTTCATTATATTTCTCTTTCTTCATTTCAATAACACATTCTATTAATAAAATAATATTACACATAAACCCAAAAATTCTCCTTACTTTTTAACCTCACAATCTTCCATCAATCATTATTCCAAAAATTATTTTTCAAACAAAATGGGTGTCAAACAGGGACTTAGTTTTATTAAAAGATGAGTTAGACTCAGCGTTCGTGATTGATCCAATAGAGCTTTTGGAAATCGCAAAGAACGTGCAATTTGATTTTATTTCTTCAAAACACAATTGTTAAATTGCAATTTCAATCTCTATAATTTTGTATTTTATTTCAACGTGTGTTCTACATGAAATCTAAGAATTATTTCACGAATATGTGGAGTTGATATTCGACATGGGGTTGAGCTACCCAACACCTCGGGTAAGTCACTACACCATTTTGTCAATACTCACCCTAAAGGATGCTACTCGATCACTAAAGCATCGATCAGAAATGGTCAAATACAATGGTACAAGTTATTAATAATATCATATCCAAACATCATAAACTATATACATATCATACATTAGAAAAAACTTACAAAAGCATATCATAGAACTCTTTTGAGAAAGATTAACCAAGGCTACTCGACATGTAGCTTGTTGCGAAGGAAACGTCCCGTCGCTATATCATAGAACTATTTGAGAAAGATTAACCCCTCGTGGTCCTCAAAAACTTCTAAATCCTAGCTTATGAGGTAAAATCTCTGGTGCAGCTTCATCTAAAATTTATATGGCTAAACGCTGTATTTCTACAAATTAATCCCCAAACTTTGTCAGATCAATTCCTGTATGTTTATGTCATATTCTATCCAATACCACACACCAAACATGACTTCACAATCGAAGAACAGGATTACGAGAATGAAAAATGGAAGCAGCTATAGCAAAAGACTGCAAAGATGACAAAGTTGATTGAAAATGAATATAATACAAGCCTTCATGGATATTCACTATTTTCATGATTGGTGTATTTTGCTTTGAACCCTGCAAAATTGACAATGGGCTGAAGTTAGCTCACTTCTTCAGTGTCTTTTGATAATTGCTAGATAAAAGCTTAAACAAAAACAGATAACTGGCCATGTTTGATGCACATTACTACACATGTCCAGCAGCGTGTACCAAACATGCACTTTTAAGGTGTTTTCAAAGTAAATATTACTTCTTTAGGCATCTCTGGTACTAGGCACTAAAGAAAATAAACCAATTCGATAAAGTATTCGTGTGCTGGATTTGAAAAGGTGGTGAAATCTAAAAGGTATGAAGGTTGTAGGTTTGTTAGAAAATTATTTTACGATTGAAAAAGAGGAAAAAGAAAGGAGATAAAGCAAACGAATGAAAGGAATTTAGCAGACCTGTATAAAGAGCTCAAATGACTTGCATTCCCTGGAAATATGAGGCGAAGCCTCCATGGTGCACGATCTGGTATCAAGTACTGTTAATGGGCACCCAATATCCCAGCCCCCACAGTCACAGCGCCCACCAGAAATCCACCTCTCAATAAGACTTGAGGGGCCACCGATTCTGGTTCTTGGTCCTCCGTGAACATCTGCTGGAACTATAATATTCGTGCTCGTCGAGCATTCACCACAATTTTGCGTACAACATTCTGAAGATATCGAGGAATTAATTCCAGATCTTTTAAGAAACTTCAATCCCCACCCTCCAATTTCTGCCTCGATTTTCTTGCAAGTATGGTGTCTCACAACAATGGCTGCCAACTCAAGATTTGGAGCATATTGACTTTCTACACTCACCTCGACTGGACTAGGACTATTTTGCACTTGATGAGATGGATGCTGATAAGTATCTTCAAAACTTGCACTCTTCCCCCCAAATTTAGAAGAATATTTCTCTTTATACGAGTGAGTTGACTTAAAAACATCTGCAATCTTCCGTGTCAATCTCTTATTCTGCTGGAGGGAATGACTTGAGCTTTGCATCTCTCCCAAATTATTGTCATCGGAACGAAATAGAACAAATCGAGTCTCCATGATTTCCGAGTTGTTTGAACAGAAAGTGATAGAAGAAGACACCCGCATCTTCCCAACAAGTTCTGGCTCGACCTCTCGTATATCACACTCTTTACTGTCATTTCCCATTGAATGAAACGTGTAAACATAGTCTAAAACTTTATTGTCAGGAGACTCTACCTTAAATGAGCTGGCTACATAAATTTCTCTCTTATCATCCATGGAAAAGGTGTACTGTGGTAGCCCATTCTTCCACGTGCATTGCAGCATTCCCTTAAACAAGGTAGCACATGAAGAAGAAGACGATTGATCCGAGCAGGTACTGTTTGTGCTCGACACAGGGATGATCCTTTTATGCAAAGGTGCAGATGCATAAACATGGTTGAGAACGGTCGCCTCCTTCATTAGTTTACGAGATGAACTGCTGCTGCTCAACAAACGTGGAGGGTTAACAAGTTCAAAACAAGCTGGTTCACAGATTTCAAGTAAACTCGTTCTTCCAGGGTTGGCGTTGCTGTCTACGGGCCTGAATTGGTTAAACGACAGGCTTTTAAAGAAGTCCGTACTCTTGCTACGAATGATAGTGCGGTTAATACCAGTCGAGCTCACGATAACATTACGGGTCCCAGTCGGCAAAGGACATTCTATAAATAACTTAGCCATGTCATGCGATCTTCTGCAACTAATTTCTGTTAAGTTAGCCAAACTATCTGACAACGTATTCACTTCTGAGGCAAAACTGCACGCTGCTTCTCTTAATCTGTTCCTACATGTCAATTCAAGGCAACCAAGAACATTTTTTTCATCTATGCTTATGATATGCATAAGTACTTTTTCGCTTCTAGCTCCTATTTCGCATAGGACTAAAGGTCGTAATCGGTGTAGTCTGAAGCAATCTGGAAACCATAAGGGCACGAGCAGTTAGTATCAATAAGCTTTAGAGGAAACAACAAGCGAGACAATGTGCTCCGAATTTGAACCACCATTTCAAAGAGAATCCAAAAGGAAGTATCAACACTAAGAAAGAAATTATCAGATCATACAATACTAGGTTCCATTTGAAGGTTAACGATGTAGCAGAAGCATAAGGAATGAAGAACACATTCAAAGATCCGTTGATTCTATGAATGACTGAGAGTGAATATTATCAATTGATACAAAATTGAGAAAACTCCCAACAATATTTTATTAAATTCAAATCAAGCTGCTTATTTATCCCCCACAAAGATTAAAGCTAAATGGGAAACTTACAGTCAAATTAATAACACGATACAATACAATATAATCTGGTGCCTTCGAAGCCTCCTCATGATTTACTCTTTCATGGACTGAGTCAATCAATCAATTCAAAACTAGGAAAGGGAAAGCACGATGCATTTCTAAGCTCCGGGAACAGCTGGGATATTGAGGGATGGGTTTGATTCTATCTCGATTTGAAAGAATTAATCTTTCTATGAGTTGTTTCACTTGGATTACTCTTGATTAAAACTAAATTAGATACTACTTAAAAGCAGGTTATAATTAAGTTGCCACCAAAACAATTCTATACACGTAAAATTTTGCTCACCATAAGAATCGGATTGCAAGATTGAAACCCACCTCTGTTCAATATATTCTGAGCAATTCTGTTCAATATATTCTGAGCAAACTCTGCTTCAACTCCCTCTTCAATAACAGCTGAAACCCATTCAAGAAGCCGTTTCAACATTCAATTTCATAATTCTGTACTACAGAATTCCCAGTTTTACTAAGATCGAGCAAATTACAAATAGATACATACATATGTAAGAAAAAAAAGAGAGAATTAACTAACTGTATTTGATTATGGGCGGCGTAAGCGACTTTATGGACTTGCTAGGCAGGTCCCTTATGCGCCAACTTCTGAAATTTTTATTGTTCCATTAAACCTCTGACCCAATTCCTACAGACATACGGATCGAGCTACAAATGAAGATGGCATAGAGATACTATAGACGGAAGATGAAGAAAATTAACTTCGTGTATGCATATTATAGTGCGTGAGAGAATAATGCTAGAGCTGGTGTGCACGATAGATGTTTAGGTAGAGGCTACATGCCCACTAGGCACCAGAGGGCGCCACCACCGCCGTACGAAAGTTTAATTTGAACTCGTTTAATTAATTTTATAAAAATGTATTTTTAATTATAAGATTTTTTAGAAA